GCCTCGGCCTCCCAAAGTGCTGGGATTACAGGTGTGAGCCACCGTGCCCAGCCACTGTTTTTGTATTTTTAGTAGACGTGGGGTTTCACCATGTTGCCCAGCCTGGTCTTGAACTCCTGGCCTCAAGTGATCTGTCTGCCTTGGCCTCCCAAAGTGCTGGGATTACAGGCATGAGCCACAGCTCTCGGCCAGAATATCCAGCATTTTAAAAGCCCCTCTGAGATTTCAGCTCCCTGCCGAGGGTGGAGAAACCACTATTGTAGCAGGAACCATGGGAAGGAAACGAGCTCATGAGATAAAGGAAAGCAGCCCAGGCAGCTGGCTCGTGGTTTCTGCCTTCTCGCTAAAGTAACACACAAAGCGCCAGAGTGGAAAGGAACCTGAAGCGCCTGTCCAGTGCTCAGGGCCCTTGACTTATGTCCGTCTTAACCACAGTGCCGAAAATGCCCTGCATTCCACGTGCCCTGTTAATGCAACCGCATTTTAATGCAGCCTAAACTGACGTTTGCTTTTTCTGGGTAGTATCAGACAGGAGACTTGTCTTGAGCTTCTGCCAGCTAACACTTGTCTTCCTGCTTGCTGCTGAAACCAGGTCTGCCCCGTTCACACCGGTGCAGTCGGATTTTGGAGTCACACACAGGAACTTGTACTGTGATACCTTTTTCTCATTTTGCAAACCAGATGTCTCAGCATCCGACTTGTACTTTATTTTCCTTCCTAATTTTCTAAAATTCTGTTTTAGCTCAGCTAAAACAGATGAAGGATGAAAACCATTTGCATCAATGTGGCAGACTTACAAGAAAAAAGGCAATTCCTTCCGTTTCAGCGTGTGGAGTTAGTACCATGCAGTGGTGGTGGTTTCAAATCTGGGTTCTAATAAAAACCCCAGCACGTGCTAGCTGGTGGTGAGAACCGCAGCGTCTCAACTGCTCTAAACCTCAGTATCTCCGTCTAGAAAACATACTCAGACTTACCTCATTGACTGATTGGGTAAGTAGGGGCCATGACAGGAGTGCCTTTGCCGTGGGAAATTCTTACAGTATTGGTCTCTGCTGTGAATCAGTGGAAAATACACATTCACCTTCTCTGACTTTTGTGTAGCCTTGGGAAACTGCATCAAGCATATGTTTTAGGGCAGGACGTGGTGGCTCATGCCTGTAATCCCAGCACTGTGGGAGGCTGAGGTGGGCGGATCACCTGGGGTCAGTTCGAGACCAAACTGACCAACATGGAGAAGCTCCATCTCTACTTAAAAAAAAAAAAAAAAAAAAATAGCTGGGCGTGGTGGCATCTGCCTGTAATCCCAGCTACTCTGGAGGCTGAGGCAAGAGAATCACTTGAACCCTGAGGCAGAGGTTGCAGTGAGCCTAGATCGCGCCATTGCACTCCAGCCTGGGCAATAAGAGTGGAACTCCATCTCAAAAAAAAAAAGGATAAAGGAAAAAGGTTTAGATTTTAACCCTATGTCTTTTGACATTTTGGGTGGAAGAAAATAATAAAAATATGTTTTAGGCCAGGCACAATGGCTCACACCTGTAATCTCAACACTTTGGGAGGCCAAGGTGGGCACATCACTTGAGGTCAGGAGCTCCAGACCAACCTGGCCAACATGGTGAAACCCCGTCTGAAATCAGCCGGGTGTTGTCGCAAGTGCCCGTAATCCCAGTTACTTGGGAGGCTGAAGTGAGAGAATGGCTTGAACTAGGACCCAGGAGGCGCAGGTTGCAATGAGCCAAGATCATGCCACTGCACTCCAGCCTGGGCTACAGCGCGAGACTCCGTGTCAAACAAAAACCAAAAGACTCCTATGCGGCTGAGTGCGGCGGCTCATGCCTGTAATCCCAGCAGTTTGGGAGGCTGAGGTGGGTGGATCGCTTGAGGTCAGGAGTTCAAGAGCAGCCTGGACAACATGGCAGTGAAACCCCGTCTCTACTAAAAATACAAAAATTAGCTGGGCGTAGTGGTGCGTGCCTGTCGTTCCAGGTACTTGGGGCCTGAGACAAGAGAATTGCTTGAATCTGGGAGGCAGAGGTTGTAGTGAGCCCAGATTGCACCACTGAATTCCAGCCTAGGCAACAGAGCAAGACTTCGTCTCAAAAAAAAAAAATTATCATCTGAGCTACTCTAGATTCTTCTTCAGGCTTAACAAGCAGTTTCGTTTTGTTTTGTGACGGAGTCTCACTCTGTCGCCCAGACTGGAGTGCAGTGGCACAATCTCGGCTCGCCGCACCCTCCGCCTCCCGGGTTCAAGCCGTTCTCTGCCTCAGCCTCCTGAGCAGCTGGGACTACAGGTGTGAGCCGCCACCACACCCAGCGACCATTTTTCAGACAGAGTCTCTCTTTGTTACTCAGGCTGGTGTTCAGTGGTGCAATCTCAGCTCACTGCAGCCTCGACCTCCTGGGCTCAAGTGACCCTCCCACCTCAGACCCCCCAGTAACTGGGACTACAGGTGTGCACCATCAGGCCCAGCTAATTTCTTTCTTTCTTTCTTTTTTTTTTTTTTTGTAGAGACAGGGTTTTGCCATGTTGCCCAGGCTGGTCTTGAAGTCCTGAGCTCAAGTGATCCACTCACTTTGTCCTCCCGAGGTGCTGGGATTACAGGCACAAGTAACCCCTCCCGGCTACATGTCTTTTTAGAGAGAAAAGATGGTTCGTTAAACTTCAATATAGCCAGGTTGAAAATGTTTCAGTTGTGAGACATGCGATAAACTGGTGGCACTGATGGCCCAAACAGTCTCCTCGTATCCCTGCCCTTTGCAATGCGGCTCTGCAGCTACTCCCTCCAAGGGGGAAATCGACTTCCCCCTCCTTCACCACCAGCTTCTGTGACAGCTTCTGTGAGACTGTGACAGAAGTGTTGATGTGGTGGTTCCAGGTCTAGGCTTCAAGAGGCCCCGAGCACTTCTGTCTCCCCAAACCCTGCCTCTGCTGGGAACAGTCCTGGACCGGCTGCTGGAAATGGGACACTGGGTGAAGCGGGGATGGATCATTCCAGCTAAGGCCACCCGAGAACAGCCAGCTGCCCTGACAGCTGACAGCAGAGGCGCGAGAAAGCCTGCCCCAGGTGACCCAAGACCAGAGCTCCCCAGCCAATTAAACTCTGCCTCCATTGCTGATCCCCAAAATCTTATACTAAATCAATGGTGGTTGTTTTAAGCCACTAGGTTTTGGGGTGTGTTGGACACAGATGCTCGGTGCTGCAAGGAAAAGTCAGCACTCAGACAATCGTTTTTACTTCCTGGACAGCAGGAAGGGGACCCTCGCTAGCCATTTTGCCAGAGAGTACAAGGAACAAAGGAAAAGCGGACACATTTATCCCTCACGCATGTGGGGTCGTCCTCACTGCTGTGTCTGATCTCCGTTGGCTGGAGCCAGACCTCACAGTCTAAACTAAAACCTGACTGGCTAACAACTTAAAACTTTTCTAAACAGGTAAAAGCAATGGAGAGCTGGGGCATGCCTGTGAGCACGTCCAGCACAGATACCTCGGCTAAAGTCCAAGGACACAGAACGTAGTATGTGCCTGCAAGCATGGCATGGCCAACAGCTACATAGGATAGGGCTTCACAAAGAGTTATTAGCACACTTACGATTTATTCTTTAACAAGAAAGGAAACTTTGAAGAGGAACTTTTCTCCTCCCCACAGGGTGGGTTTATGTAGCACAATTCTGGTAGTAGGTAACTGTTTCAGGAGACAGGAACGGTTCTGATAATTAGGGTCACGATGACTCCCATATTTACGTCACCAACCAAGACTCCTCCCTCGAATTCCAGACCCAAGTATCCAGCCACCACCCCAGCATTTCTATAATCAGAACCAAGCTCTTGATAACACCCGAAAATTTACTCCTCCTATAGCCACAGCCTTTACTGTCTTGACAAAATGGAGAACTTTCCATTTCCAGGCGCCTCGGCCTAATCCTTGCACCTTTCTTCATCATTTCTTTCTCTCACATTCCATGTCGACTTTCTTAGCAAATCCATTGGGCTCTACCTCCAAAATATATCCAGAATCTGCTCACTTTTCACCAACTCTATGGCTACTGCTCTGACCCAAGCCCCCATCATCTCTTGTTCCAGCAGCCTCTTATTTTTTTTGTTTCCAAGTTAATTGGGCACCTCGTATGTTGCCTGGCAACCGTAACCAGGCATCTTCCACTTCACAGCCTCTGCATCTGCCCAAGTCCTCTTCCCAGAGAGCTGCAGAGCCCACTCTCTGACCACCTTTAAGTTTTGTTCAGATGATATCTTGTCAATATCAAGAGATCTTCCTGGCCAGGGACTGTGACTCACACCTGTAATCCCAGCACTCTGTGAGGCCCAGGGTGGATGGAGTCGGGAGTTTGAGACCAGCCTGGCAAACATGGCAAAACCCCGTCTCTACTAAAATATAAAAATTAGGCATGGTGGCATGTGCCTGTAATCCCAGCTACTTGGGAGGCTGAAGCACAGAGAATCACTGGAACCGGGAGGCAGAGGCTGCAGTGAGCCGAGATCACACCACTGCACTCCAGCCTGGGAGAGAGAATGAGACTCTGTCTCAAAAAAAAAAAAAAAGGGCCTTCCTGGACCACCACATTTCTCCATTCATTCATTCATTCATTTTTTGAGACAGAGTCTTGCTCTGTCGCCCAGGCTGGAGTACAGTGGCATGATCTCGGCTCACTGCAAGCTCTACCTTCTGGGTTCAAGTGATTCTTGTGCCTCAGCCTCCTGAGTAGCTGTGAGACTACAGGTGCACATCACCACGCTCAGCCAACCTTTGTACTTTTAGTACAGATGAGGTTTCACCACGTTGGCCAGGCTGGTCTCAAACTCCTGACCTCAGGTGATCCTCCCGCCTCAGCTTCCCAAAGTGCTGGGATTACAGGCATGAGCCACCGCACCCGGCCGACCACCACATTTAAAGCTACCTTCCCACCATGGTATGCCCAACGCTCTTGTGTATTTTTTCTCCCTGACACCTATGACCATGAAACATACTAAGTGTTTACTTACTTACTTGGCGTCTGTGTGAAGCCCAGTCCCACGCAAGCTTCCAGAAGGCTGCTTGTCTCTGTTGTGCTTTGCTCGCTGCTCAGTCCTCAGCGGCTGACTTTCTATGTAGACTTGACTGCGCCAGAGGGTGCCCACGTTCAATACTGTTTCTGGGTCTGTCCGTGAGGGTGTTTCCAGATGAGATGAGCATTTCCGGCAGTGGACTCAGTGAAGTAGATGGCAAGTGTGAGTGGACATCACCTAATCCATTGAGGGCCTGAACAGAACAAAAAACAGGAAGGAGAAGCTCACTCCTATTGCCGCCCGCCTACCTGCCTGAGCTGGGACATTGATCTTCTCCTGCCCTTGGAATGCGATTTATACCATTGCCCCCCCGACCCCGCCGCCAGTTCCCAGGCCTCTGAACTTGGACTGAATTATACCACCAGCTTTTCTGGGTCTCTAACTTGTAGATGCCAGATCATGAGACCTCCTAGCACCCTTAGTTTTATGAGCCAATTTCTCACCCGAATGCCACATCCCCGTTTTCCATCTTGGTGAAACAGCTCTCTAACAGTTTATTGAGAAGCTACTTTTCTTTTTTTTAGCTGGGTGTGGTGGCACACACCTGTAGTCCCAGCTACTAGGGAGGCTGAGGCAGGAGAATCACTTGAACCCGGGAGGCAGAGGTTGCAGTGAGCCGTGATCACGCCATTGCACTCCAGCCTGGGCAACAGAGTAAGACTCCATCCCCCAACCCGCCAAAAAGAAATACGTTTTTATATTAATTTATTTCATTTAACATGGATCAGAATCTCAGAAGAGCTTCCTTAGCTGCCTCCATAGAATAGTGAGTCTGGACCTGGGCAGACTGGGAGACCTGAGTCTTAGGTTACCAGACGTGGAGAAGACAACCTGCTCCCTACATTAGAAGGACTGTGTTCTCGCTGACTATCTTTTCGCCTTTGTTTTTTAGATGGAGTCTTGTTCTGCTGCACAGGCTGGAGTGCAGTGGCATAATCTAAGCTCACTGCAACCTCTGCCTCCTGTGTTCAAGCAATTCTCCCACCTCAGCCTTCCGAGTACCTGGGATTACAGGTGCCCACAACCACATCTGGCTAATTTTTGCATTTTTAGTAGAGATGGGCTTTCACCATGTTGGCCAGGCTGGTCTTGAACTCCTGACCTCAAGTGATCTGCCCACCTCAGCCTCCCAACGTGCTGGGATTCCAGGTGCGAGCCGCCTCGCCCAGCCTGTCTTTTTGTCTTCAGAATGTGTCTGCATTCCTATTTCTTGGTGCAGTCCTGCCCTGCTCACGCACCGCGGCGATTGTAAGAGGCACAGAAGGAGGGTGTGTGTTATTATATAACGTGATGCACTGCCGGGCACAAAGCCCAACCCAGATGGGAGTTATTACACAGTGACGTTTCCCTGCAGTGTCTCGTAACATTAGACTTTCCTTTTCTTTCTTAGAATTCTTTAAAACACGCTTCCCTTGTATATAAATAACTTCTTAAAATATTGGAAAGCAGCTATCCTGCCAGGTTATAGCAGGAGGTTAGCATAAGAAGAAAGCTTCAATTTCCCCTACTATTTTGTTCTTCATTTATTTAATAGCAACCTAGACTTTAATCTGAATATAGAACAAGTTCAGGGGACACTGCAGGAGTCTGAAATCAATAGTGATGTCACTCAATTGCCACTTTAAATCTGCTCACCCTGGCTGCTGACGCCCCTTCCTCTCCCTGGGCAACTACAGATTCTTAACAATCAACTCTTACTTAATGTGCGTGCTCTCTCTCTCTCTCTCTCTGTCTCTCTCTCTCTCTCTCTGTCTCTGTCTCTCTCTCTCTGTCTCTCTCTCTCTCTCTCTGTCTCTCTCTCTCTCTCTGTCTCTGTCTCTCTCTCTCTGTCTCTCTCTCTCTCTCTCTGTCTCTCTCTCTCTCTGTCTCTGTCTCTCTCTCTCTGTCTCTCTCTCTCTCTGTCTCTCTCTCTCTCTGTCTCTCTCTCTGTCTCTGTCTCTCTCTGTCTCTCTGTCTCTCTCTCTCTGTCTCTCTCTCTCTCTCTGTCTCTCTCTCTGTCTCTCTGTCTCTCTCTCTCTCTCTGTCTCTCTCTCTCTCTCTCTCTAATCTAACCTAAACTGTAAGAGAAAACTTTTGCTTTGCATTTTCTGACTCTCCAAAGTATCTGTGGTAAAGGATTGGTTTTCTTTCTTTCATTTTTTTTTTTTTTTTTGAGGCGGAGTTTCGCTCTTGTTACCCAGGCTGGAGTGCAATGGCGCGATCTCGGCTCACCGCAACCTCCGCCTCCTGGGTTCAGGCAATTCTCCTGCCTCAGCCTCCTGAGTAGCTGGGATTACAGGCATGCACCACCGTGCCCAGCTAATTTTTTGTATTTTTAGTAGAGACGGGGTTTCACCATGTTGACCAGGATGGTCTCGATCTCTGGACCTCGTGATCCACCCGCCTCGGCCTCCCAAAGTGCTGGGATTATAGGCATGAGCCACTGCGCCTGGTCCATTTTTTTTTTTTTTTCTTTTGAGACAGAGTCTTGTTCTGTCACCCAGGCTAGAGTACAGTGGGGCCATCTCAGCTCACTGCAACCTCAGCCTCCTAAGTTCAAGCAATTCTCCTATGTCAACTTCCTGAGTAGCTGGGATTACAGGCACCTGCCACCACAACCCGCTAATTTTTGTATTTTTAGAAAAGGAGGTGTTTCACCATGTTGGCCAGGCTGGTCTCAAACTCCCAACCTCAGGTAATCCACCTGCCTCTGCCTCCCAAAGTGCTGGGATTACAAGCATGAGCCACTGCGCTCAGCCTGTATTTTTTTTTAGAAGAGATGGTATTTCACCTGACCTCAGGTGATCTGCCCACCTTGGCCTCCCAAAGTGTTGGGATTACAGGCATGAGCCACCATACCTGGCCTGACCTGACTTGCAAAACCTCCACTATATGCCCCAAATCGACTTTTCAAAAATCATCAGAAAACTCAGTTTTTTTTTTCCTCTCTCTCTCTCTCTTTTGAGACATGGTCTCCCTCTGTGGCCCAGGCCCAGGTGCAGTGATGTGATCTCGGCTCACTGCAATCTCCACCTCCTAGGTTCAAGCGATTCTCCTGCCTCAGCCTCCCGAGCAGCTGGGACCACAGGCACCACCACACCTGGTTGTTTTGTGTTTTTAATGCAGATGGGGATTCCTCCATGTTGACCAGGCTGGTCTGGAACTCCTGACATCAGGTTACCAGCCCACTTCGGCCTCCCAAAGTGCTGGAATTACAGGCATGAGCCACTGCACCTGGCCAGAAGACCCAGTTTTCAAAAACAAAGAAATAATAAAAATCTCCATTATTGTGGTATAATTTATATACAATAAACTGCACCCATTTACATCGTATACTTTGATGAGTTTTGATGGCTCTGTATGCCCATGAAATCACCACCACAGTCAAGCCACAGGGCATTTCCAGCATTGCCAAAAAGTTCCTACTGCCCCTAGTTCTAAGCTACGTACAACCACTTAGAAAGCTTTTGTTGGCCGGAGGTGATGGCTCATGCCTGTAATCCCAGCACTTTAGGAGGCTGGATTATCTGCGGTCAGGGGTTCAAGACCAGCCTGGCTAACATGGTGGAACCCCATCTCTACTAAAAATACAAAAACTAGCCAGGCATGGCGGTGGGCACCTGTAATCCCAGCTACTCCGGAGGCTGATGCCTGGGAGGTGGAGGTTGCAGTGAGCCGAGATCGTGCCATTGCACTCCAGCCTGGGCAAGAGCAAAACTCCATCTCAAAAAAAAGAATGCTTTTGTCACTACAGATTAGTTTTTCATTTTCTTTTCATTCATTTTAATGATTTTGAGAGCCACGTCGTTGGGTATTTCAGTAATTTTTCTCTGTGTTGCAGTGAAATATTCCAGTTGAGTCCTGATGATGTTTCCTGGTTTTTGTGAATGAAGCTGCCATGAGCACTTACACAGAAGCCTTTGCATGGAAATGTTTCATTTCTCTTGGGTAAACACCTAGGCGTAGAATGGCTGGGCTGCATCATATATGTTTAACTCCAAACCCATTTTCCCACCTGTTTCCCACTGTTCTTCTGACCCACCTTTGAGCCACACGGAACTATTTACTTGTTCTCAGCTATGTCCTGGCATCTCCTGCCTCCTGCCCTTCATGGAATTCCTTTGGCTTAGAACATCTGTTTTCAGATCATTCCACTACATTAGCTTGGTTCAAGGACCATCACCACAAAGGCCTCTTTCTTCCCCTCAGTGGATCATGACCAAGCTAAGCCACACCATTCTTTTGGAGATAATCTCTTTTAATGTTGGTCGAGTTCTTGTCTCTTCTTGTAGGTCCTGAGTATCTCTGATCACAGGATCTGCAGCCAGTTCAGTTTGGTGGCTCCCACATGGCCTGCCTTGTTCGGTTCTTTGCATAAGGCACTCGGTAATTTTTTTTTTTTTTTTTTTTTTGAGACAGAGTCTCGTTCTGTTGCCCAGGATGGAGTATAGTGGCACAATCTCAGCTCACTGCAACCTTTGCCTCCCGGGTTCAAGCGATTCTTCTGCTTCGGCCTCCCAAGTAGCTGGGATTACAGGTGTGCACCACCACACCTGGCTAATTTTTGTATTTTTAGTAGAGATGGAGCTTCGCCATGTTGGCCAGGCTGGTCTTGATCTGACCTCAGGTGATCCACCCACCTCAGCCTCCCAGAGTGCCCGCCAATATATTCTAGATTAATAAGAGATTTAAAAGATCAACCAACCACAATGTCTAGACCTTATTTGTGTTACCAGAAAGGGGTCCCAATCCAGACCCCAAGAGAGAGGCCATGCATCTCGCAGAAGAATGCAGGGCAGTCTGTAGAGTGAATGCAAGTTTATGAGGAAAGGAATGAGGAATGGCCACTCCACAGAGCAGTCCCAAGGGCTGCTGGCTGCCCAATTTTATGGTTATTTCTTGATTATTTGCTAAACAAGGGGCGGATTCTTCAGGCTTCCCCTTTGTAGACCATACAGGGTAACTTCCTGATGTGACATGGCGTCTGCAGACTGTCATGGCGCTGCTGGGAGTACAGCAGTGAGGATGACTGGAGGTCACTCTCGTTGCCATCTTGGTCCTAGTGGGTTTTGGCTTCTTTACTGCAAGCTGTTTTATCAGCAAGGTCTTCATCATCTGTATCTCCTGTTGACCTCCTGTCTATCTCATCCTGAACTAAGAATGCCTTAACCTCCTGGGAATGCAGCCCCGCAGGTTTTAGCCTGATTTCACCCAGTCTCTATTCAAGATGGAGTTGCTCTGGTTCAAACACCTCTAACATTTGGATCCTGATTGAAACAAACTATGAAAAAAGAAATGTAAGACATCGAGGATATTACAGTTATCTTTTCTAATCTTTTTTACCTTTCTTTTCTTTTTTTTTTTTTTTAACTTTTATTTTAGGTTAAGGGCACATGTGCAGGTTTGTATATATGTAAACTTGTGTCACGGGGCTTTGTGTCACCCACGTTTTAGCCTAGTGCTCAATCGTTATTTTTTCTGCTCTAAAGTCTTGATTTTTTGAAAAGATTGTCTTTTGAGATTTGTTTGAAATAAGAGAGAAAGTGATAGTGAGACAGAGGACACCAAACTGGCCCTGGTTGATAACACTGAGGGGGGAGGATGGGCGCACAGGTTCATTACATTCTTGAAATCTTCCACAATTAGAAAAGTTAAAATTAAAAAAATAAAACAGACTGCCCCTCAGCCGAGTCTTGCAGACTCCAAAGGGCCTTTTTAAAAAATGTTGGCCCTCACAGTGGGTTAATATAGTAACAGATGATTAATCATTAACATTTTAGTCTGTGATGGTTTCCAAGTGTCAGTGAAATGCCTGCTTCCCGCAGCCCTGCCTTTCACCCTTCCGCTCACCTCTCCAGCTCCTCTCTCCCTGAGCCCTACAGCCCCAACATCCCCTCCACTTCCTGGCACCCATCCCCTTGCTGCTGCTGCCATTTTGCGTGCTGGAATGCCCCCTCTGCCATCCTCCACCTGGCAGAACCTGCTATGTTACCAATCCAGATTAATGCTGCTTCCTCCGTGAGTGTCCTCCTCCTCCCACTTCTCTCCATCTTCTTCCCTCTCCTCCTCCCCCTTCTCTCCATCTTCTTCCCTCTCCTCCTCCCCCTTCTCTCCATCTTCTTCCATCTCCTCCCCCTCCATCAGAATTCACACTCCCCACAAAGAGCTCTGTGATTCTACTGCTCTTTCTATATACTTAGCACCTTACGTTACATTTTTTCTTTTCTTCTTATTTTTTTTTTTTTTTGAGACGAAGTCTCACTCTGTTGCCCAGGCTAGAGGGCAGTGTCTTGATCTCAACCTCTGCCTCCCGGGTTCAGTCTCCTGCCTCAGCTTCCCGAGTAGCTGGGACTACAGACACATGCCACCATGCCTGGCTAGTTTTTTGTATTTTTAATAGAGACAGGGTTTCACCATGTTGGCTAGGCTGAACTCCTGATCGCAAGTGATCCTCCTGCCTCGGCCTCCCAGAGTGCTGGGATTATAGGCGTGAGTCACCACGCCCAGCCTTGATGTTATATTTTCATATAATATTCCAACTTAAATTAAGGTGGTAGATTTTTGGCAGATTAACGATTTGGGCTAATCTTTTTTGTCTACTCTAACCTCGGTCAGGGCTGAACAACCTTCATTTACAGGCACTTTGGCCTTTGGCTGGAGTTCAGCAGGCCACACTCCGGCGGCATGGGCTGCAGGGCTGCAAACTTCAAACAGCTCCAGGTGCCCACAGGCCGAGCAGCGGGGGAGAGACTGGCACGAAGGAGCGCATATGCCCTGGCCCAGAGTGGTGCCCGTCTCCCGGTGCCAGGCACGTGGACCCTGGATTAGGGCTCCTTTAAATGTTCATTCTCGCACCTCACTTTGGATTCATTATTTTAGGCTCATTTCTTTAAACAGGGCCTCTCCAATGGCATCAGCTCCGGCCGTAGAAAACCTGGGCTCCCTGCCTGTATTTGTGATCCCAGCACTTTGGGAGGCCAAGGTGGCGGATCACTTGAGCCCGGAGTTTCTCAGCAGCCTGGGCAACATGGTGAAATCCCATCTCCACCAAAAACACAAACAACAACAAAAACAACTGGACATGGTGGCCGTTGTCTGTAGTCCCAACTACTAAGGAGGCTGCGGTGAGAGGATCTCTTGAACCTGGGAGGTGGAGGCTGCAGTGAGTCGAGATCACGCCACTGCACCCCAGCATGGGTGATAAAGCAAGACCCTGTCTCAAAAACAAAAAAACATACAAAAAACTAACCAGAATGTTGACATCAAGCAAAACGATTCATCTGAAAATAAGAGACTCTGAGTGTGGCCGGGTGGTGTGGTTCATGCCTATAATCCCAGCACTTTGGGAGGCCAAGGTGGCAGATCACTTGAGATCAGGAGTTTGAGACCAGCCTGGCCAACGTGGTGAAACCCTCGTCTCAACTAAAATTTTTTTTGAGACAGTTTCGCTCTTGTTTCCCAGGCTGGAGTGCAATGGCGCGACCTCGGCTCACCGCAACCTCCGCCTCCTGGGTTCAGGCAATTCTCCTGCCTCAGCCTCCTGAGTAGCTGGGATTACAGGCACGCGCCACAATGCCCAGCTAATTTTTTGTATTTTTAGTAGAGACGGGGTTTCACCATGTTGACCAGGATGGTCTCGATCTCGTGACCTCGTGATCCACCCGCCTCGGCCTCCCAGAGTGCTGGGATTACAGGCTTGAGCCACCGCGCCCGGCCCCACGCCCAGATTTAAACAAGGTAACCATCGGCGTCTCCCATTTCCTCCCCAACCGTGTCTTCCGGGGACCGGGACAGGGTGGGCCGCTGCAGGCGCAGCTGTTTCATAGAGCGAAGGGCGGCTCGCTTTGCCCTGGGAACATAAAAATGACCCCCTAACCCCCCGCAAAGAAGAAAGAAAAAGACCCTTTGTGGTTTGCTGCCCCCGCGCTCCGCTGGGAGGTGCGGCCGGGAGGGGGCGCCCGCGGCTCCGAGACGCACCGAAGCGCCAACCTGCCTTCTGGGAGCGGTTCCGAGAGGAGGAAGCAGGGAGCAACCACCGGGGCACCTTCGGGGAACAGTCGGTTTTCAGAGCTAGAATGAGGCGGACGTTTACACAGCTGTGGTCTAGCACGAGCCCCGCACGTTGCTTAGCGACGGAAGCCAAAGTGCTACTAAAACCGTCAGGATGAACACTTGGAATGACAGGCAGGTGCCGCAGTCAGTGGAGGCCGCCGCGTCTCATCATGGAAACCTGCTAGCAAAGCGGGGAGAGGCTGCTTCCAAAGCGGCCAGTGCAGAGAGAGAACGAACATGCCGCTGGGGGGACGTGCGCCGCTGGTCCATGAGGTCTGCGGCTGCGATCGCGCAGGCTTCTAACACGGCCTAAGTGATTAGCACGTGTTTATGCAGTTAAGGACGTCATGTGCAGAACACCTGGGCGTCGCCACGGAATTGTCTTAAAGTTCCTCATCTATACGTCCGCAGCCGCCCTTTTGTATCTTCTTGTGACTACTTTGCCCTATGACTGCCCTCTCCTACCCAAAAGGCAGGGAAGAGCATGAAATAGTGGGTGCTGGGGTGGGGAGGACGGTGAACAACTGATAGGTCCTACCTGAAATCTTGCCCCAGGGGCTTCTGAAACCAGCAAACATGAAAACAGGAGTTGGGTCAAGCATTGATTAGAGCTCTCAAGCGAACTTTAACCAATTTTGCAGCCACTTCTCTAACGCTTCCCAAAATTAGACTGGGCGACGAAATTGTAATGATTCTGTTAAAATGTGTACAATGAATCCATAACCTCAACCCATTAGTTGCACCCTGCTAAGGTATAGAGAAAATAAATGCGGTAAAGGGGCAGTGGCTCGCTGCTATCCCAACACTTTGAGACGCCAAGCTGGGCGGATCGCTTGAGCCCAGAAGTTCGGACAGGCCTGTGCAACACCGCGAGACCCCCATCTCTGTAAAAAAAAAAAAAAAAAAAAAAAAAAAAAACTCATACAATAAATCAATTTAAAAAAAATCTGCAACTGGCCAAGAAGTTTGTGGGCACAGCGTTTCTTTTCGGAAACCAGCTGCTGCATGTACCGGTACGTACAGAAAAGGGACCCCAATAATTTAACCCATATATGTCTAACCTATCTAAAATAAAGGGCGCGGTCGTGTTTGGGTGCTGTAGTTCATCAGGTGGTCACTAGAGGGCGCCCAAGTTTGCTTCCCACAGAGCCCCAGGACAATTTGCAGTTCAAACGACTGTGGCACTCAGCCCAGCACGGTTTCAACACCTGGAGGTCCCGTGGCTGGAAAGCCTTGTGGAAACACAGGGCTGATAACTTCCGTCCCACGGGTATGAACTGCACGATGGCTAGGCTAATGCTTACTTTCAGATTCCAAGTCTTGGCCTTGTTTTCAGTTTGGGGCTGCTTAGTAGGAAGGTCCCTCTCCCCGCTCTCAGCTTGTCTCCCTCCCTCAGCATTTTTATGATCCTGTGCAATGACAGCCCCTGGAATAGTGTAATTACAGCCCAGTGCATAGAGCGGTATGGATGAGGGGGATGTGTACATCCACAGAGAACCATTACTGAATTGTACCTAATCAACAGAACTTTGTCATGTTCTCAAGGTTAAAAATTCTCAGTACTGGGACTCCCTTTTTTCTTCTTCTTTTTTGAGACAGAGTTTCGCTCTGTCACCAGGCTGGAGTGCAATGGTGCGATCTCGGCTCACTGCAACCTCCGCCTCCCAGGTTCAAGCAGTTCTCCTGCCCCAGCCTCCCAAGTAGCTGGGATTACAGGCATGCACCACCATACCCGGCTAATTTTGAATTTTTAATAGACACGGGGTTTCTCCCTGTTGGTCAGGCTGGTCTCAAACTCCCGACCTCAGATGATTCGCCCGCCTCGGCCTCCCAAAGTGCTGGGATTACAGGCATGAGCCACTGCGCCCATCTATTTTTAAATCCACATCTGAATCTCTTTCACCTTGTTTACTGAGTCACTGAATCAATTATCTACTGCCGTTACAAATAACCCCAAACATAGTATTTTAAAACAATAAATACATATTACCTCAAAGTTTCTGTAGGTGAAGAATGCAAAGCCTCTTGGTTAGATGGCACAAGGCGGGGTCTCCTTCAGGAGGCTACTGTGCCATGCTGGCTGCGTCTGCCGTCTGCAGTCAGCTGAACACCTGACTGGGCTGGAGTATCCACTTCCAGGATGTTCACTCGCATGGTGGCTGGAAGGAGGCCTCACTCCTCACCCCTGGTTCGGTCTCCCCCATGATGTGGTAGCTGCTTCCTCCAGAGTGAGAACTCCCACAGAAATACGGTGGAAGCCACAGTATGGTTTACCATCTAGTTTGGGAAGCTGCACATCATTTCCTCAATGACCTAACGGTTGCATGGTCCGCCCTCCTCAAGGTGGGAGGGGACTGACTACCCAAAGGCATGAATACCACGTGCTGGGGATATAGGACACCCTTCTGGAAGCTGGCTGTCACTCACCTTGTTTTCCGAATGCATATTTAAGCCTTCTTTTACAGGTAGAGTTTACCTTACCTATGTCTTGGGATGGAGTCTCACTTTGTTGCCGGGCCGGAGTGCCGTGGCACGATCTCAGCTCACCACAACCTCCACCTCCCAGGTGCAGGTGATTCTCCTGCCTCAGCATCCCGAGTAGTTGGCATTACAGGTATCTGCCACCACGCCCAGCTAATTTTTATATTCTCAATAGAGACAGTATTCCGCCATGTTGGCCAGGCTGGTCTTGAACTCCTGGCCTCAAGTAAGCTGCCCGCCTCAGCCTCCCACAGTGCTGAGATTACAGGCGTGAGCCACCGCGCCTGGCCCAATTTACCTTTTTTAATGTAATCATTCCTAAGAATGCATACACGACCACTTTTTAAATGCATACCAGAAGTTTATTTTCCTATGAGTACAAATTGCTCCCTCTTCTGTACATCAGAAGTAATTTCTCAAGAGGTGTATGTTGGGGATGGGGAGAATGTCCTATCTTTAATAATATATGTGTGTTGTTAAACATCTCTCTCTCTCACAACTGTAAAATGTATGTGTTAAGGAGAAGTTTGCCACCTTCCGGTCGGGAATGTTTTCATTTCTTTCTGCAAACAGACTTGCTAGCAAGTGGCAAGTTACATTAAACAATAAAAATCAATAAAAGTCATCAGGGAGTTACTGGCTCACTTTGTTTTAAGATGAACAATCCCAAGCCCTTTTCCTATATGACCTGACACTAGCCAGCTCTGAAAGGGAACTGTGATGATTCTTTTTTTCAGAAGTAACAGCTCCAAGGCAGAAAGCTTTGAAGCAACCTGAGAACTGGAAAATGGTTGAGAACTCAAAGTTCTAACCTGCTGAGTGAGCCTGGAGGACATCAGAAAGTTGAGAGAAGGGTTCTCACGCTCACTCAGCAGCCTCCCTCCATTTCTGTCCACAGCAGAGCCAGTGCCCAGGCATCAAGCGATCTTCTTGCCTCAGCCTCCCGAGTAGCTGGGATTCAGATGGCTTTTAGAATTAGAGAGATTTGAGTTTAAATTCTCCCTTCCTTCTCCTTGGCTGTGTGAGCCTGGATGTTTTATTTAACCTCTCCAAGGCTCGATTCACCCCCGTGGAATATAGCAATACTAGCACGTACCTTCCTGGTTACTTGGGAGGTGATGTACGCAGAGTGCCCATTATAGTTCCTGACCCTACTAGGGTGGTCACTATTTGGAGGCCGTTATGGAAGGGGGAGAGGAAGGAACATGGCACCACAGTGATGTGGGAAGGGCGTCTACAGTCAGCTGTTTCTTCCAGGCGAGATAACGTAAAACACTGACATTCCATAGTATTTTTCTCTTTAGAAAACTGAATAAACTCTCTGGGGAAAATCAGGGAACTGAGAATGTGTGATGTCCCAAATTTAGGTCCCCCACATGCTGGCATTTCAGGATTCCCAGAATCATGGCCGGCTTCCCACCTGCTCACCCAAAGCAAAGTCTGTTGGTGACAGTTCCTGCCCACACAGAGAACTCCTAATCAAACCTTTCATTTCCTCATCTAAAAAGTGTGAACAAGGAGGCAGGAATCACCAACAGAGCCTTCGGCACGAAAGACCAAGATGAACGAATAGAAAACAGATACAATGGAGGATACAGAGGAGTAAACAGCAAGGCGCGAGTTAGCATTCCAGAGAAATCCACAACCGAGCAACCCCGAGGCTATAAAAGAACATAATTTTCATGTTTTATGTAACAAATGTGATGCTATAAAAGAATAAAAGAACAAACATTACTGGCCAAGAGAGCAAAACCCCATTTCTACTAAAAATATAAAAAGTAGCTGGGCATGGTGGCACATGCCTGTAATACCAGCTACTCAGGAGCCTGAGGCAGGAAAATCACTTGAACCTGGGAGGCGGAGGTTGCCATGAGCTGAGATCTTGCTACTGCACTCCAGCCTGGGCAACAGAGCAAGACTCCATCTCAAAAACAAAACAAAAAGTTTTGTTTCTAGCAGGCACCTGTAGTCCAACCTACGTGCAAGGCTGAGGTGGGAGAATTACTTGAGCCTGGGAGGCACAAGTTGCAGTAAGCTATGATCATGCCACTGCACTGCAATCTGGGTGACAGAGCAAGACCTTGTCTCAGGAAAAAAAAAAAAAAGAATGAGGAAGAAATAAGCAGCAGCTAATTCTCTCATGCAGAAGTTGGTTCTAGAGCAAAACTGTGAAGAAAAAATATAAAAAACAAACAGAGAGACTTTGAGCACATTTAAACTCTGAGAGAAGAAAACTTATTTAAAAAGTAAACATCTGGTTTGGCGTGCTGGCTCACGCCTGTAATCCCAGCACATTGGGAGGCTGAGGTGGGACGACTGCTTGAGCCCAGAAGTTCGTGACCAGCCCAAGCAACATAGCAAGACCCTCCATCTCCAGAAATAGAAAATAAAAACACCTTGTTTTTTTGCGACGAGGTCTCGCTCTGTCACCCAGGCTGGAGTGCACTGTTACAATCTCAGCTCGCTGCCACCTTCACCTCCCAGGTGCAGGCGATTCTCGTGCCTCAGCCTCCAGAGTGGCTAGAGCAACAGGCATGCGCCACCATGCCCTTTTCCTTCTTGTACCTTCTCAGAGACAGTGGGGGTGGGGTCAGACTGTGCCCAGCCTAAAATTATCTACAAAAACTAAAGGTCTGACCTTGAATAGGTAGAAATAAACCTGTTTGGTGTCAGAAAATTTTCCCTAAGGGTAAAGAAAGTTCACGGCATAGGTATCAGAGGTGAAAACTGGTTACACCGAGGTCCAAGGGGTTAGTAATCTCCACTGTTTACAGAAACTTGGCTCCTCAGGGATGTTCACAGCAGAGGTCCAAGGGGTTAGTTAGTAATCTCCACTGTTTACAGAAACTTCACTCCTCAGGGATGTTCACAGCAGAGGTCCAAGAGGTTAGTAATCTCCACTGTTTACAGAAACTTGGCTCCTCAGGGATGTTCACAGCAGAGGTCCAAGGGGTTAGTAATCTCCACTGTTTACAGAAACTTGGCTCCTCAGGGATGTTCACAGCAGAGGTCCAAGGGGTTAGTAATCTCCACTGTTTACAGAAACTTGGCTCCTCAGGGATGTTCACAGCAGAGGTCCAAGGGGTTAGTAATCTCCACTGTTTACAGAAACTTCGCTCCTCAGGGATGTTCACAGCAGAGGTCCAAGGGGTTAGTAATCTCCACTGTTTACAGAAACTTGGCTCCTCAGGGATGTTCACAGCAGAGGTCCAAGGGGTTAGTAGTCTCCACTGTTTACAGAAACTTCACTCCTCAGGGATGTTCACAGCAGAGGTCCAAGGGGTTAGTAATCTCCACTGTTTACAGAAACTTCACTCCTCAGGG